AGAAAAAAAGTCTTTCAAAATAACTCTGCAAATGTGCCAATTGTGTCGTAATGTAAATAACGAACTGAAACGGATGCTTGAGATTAACTGCTTTGATTACTAATTAATGTGTTTTTCATGCAAATAGTTCCAAAGCTGCCATTCTTGCAGTGACCGATTTCTGCCACAGGATGCCACCATTTCACTAGAAATGGCTTTAAACTGTAGTATTACACAACAGGTGAAAACTGCAATTCAGGACACGTTTTTGGAACAGTTTAATGTTGATTAGCCTGTGCAGTATAAGAGATCCTTTTCAAATGAACATGGTTGATGCTGATGCAGTTTAAAGAGGTTCATATTGCTATCGAGACTCTGTTCATTCAAGTGTTCCAACTATGAAGTCATCAGTTGCAACTTCAAATATTTAGACATAATGTTTAGACAAGTTAATGGTGTCTCAGAATAATCACATTGGAAAAAAAATAGGATCAGACCCCCACATCACTGTAAGTAAGTTCTTAAAGAGGATTAGGAGACCGAACAGCAGGAAAAAAAAAGAGTTGATGTACCATAGTACTTAGAATTAAGAGTAGAAATTGAGGGGTGTGCGTGAGCAGCAAAATTATCCATCACTTCCACATTAGGCACTACTATGAGAAAAATGACTATCCGAAGTATCACCTTTATTAGTACTAAAGAGGAAAGGTTATTAAAAAAATAATTTGCTGATTTCTTTTTTAATAAAAGTTGCTGATAGACATTTTAAAATGCTAATGAATTACAGTCAGTCATTAAAATGAGATGGTTGTAAAGGATGATATGAATGAGAGTAGCTGTACGTTACTACAACTAAAAAAAAAAGTTTGGAGGGTTGTTGGAGCTCTTAGACCACACTGCCCAACTTCAGGACATGAGCTGCACTGTGCTGAGTGCACACATGTATTTTTACTCTGTCTAGAAATACAACTGCATATGTGCAGTAGAACGTGACTGCCCACTTACATTTGGCTCTTATAGATGTGCCCTTCTGCCTCTCTGCAATTATTTGCAAAGAAAGTAATTGTCTGGGTGACTGCTCCCTTGTCCACACCTGGCTATCAGCATATGAGCTATATGACTAAAAGAAACCTAATTTTTCAGCGTTTTCCTGGCTCAGTGGGTGAACATTGCCCTTGTCCTTTCTGTTCTGCAGGCCCGTGTTTATCTGGATGTTCCCTTGAGCACAGGTTTTTCTTCAGTTTCACATACTTGAATCTTGACCAAATGTTGCCAGTTTTTTATTTCTTAAATTCAACTACAAGTTTTCATCCTTGCAGGTGAAAATTTTTATGCTTGCCCTCAGTGCTGCATTGTCCTCCTCTTGCCTCGAGGAAGGCAGCCTTGCCTACTTCTGTCAGTCCAATTAGAGCTGCACAACTTATTTTTCCGGATTGTTGCTT